TGTAAACCACTATACAATATTTTTTTTAAAAGATTAAAGAGACCATGTTCTATTGGTCATAGTCTACTCAGTGGTGCATAACAACAGCAATTATGACATATATCTCCTACAAGTATATTTCAACAGTTAATTTATCATATTGCAGTTGAATTCTTAGCCTTTTTCATCATCAAGGAACTCACATTATGTCCCTACACCTCTGTTGTGGTTGTTATGTACAATCAAATCAAGTACAATTCACAATAACCCTTTGAACAACAGATCTGAGTTCTGTATTATCCTGCACCATTCCCAACACCTCTGACATACTTGAGCCCACTGTAGCAGTCACTGTGTTAATCCATCTGATTGAGGGTTTTCCTTTCTTTTGCCTACCCTCCTCCTTTCCATGCATGATATACCTCTGTGAGGAGTAGCCTTTCCAACAACATACCCAACGTATGTGAGCTGAAGCGTTGTCATCTTTGCCTGTGAGAAGCCCTCGGGCTGTACTTCTCTCCAAGACATATCTGTTCTTTTGGGAAGACCTCTGCTAAATATCTTCTAATAATTATCTTGGTATTCTGCACTAGAGTTTTATGACAGTTGCAAATTTTTCCATGTCTGGTGAGACAATAAAGTATCAATGAAGGTAAAGTACTCAAAGTCTATATAGAAAATTGATTAGCTAAAACTCACTACTGTACAGCCAATTCCAAATCATAGACTCCCACCACTGGGTTTACACGGCTGTGAATATTTATAGAAAGAGACTGCCTGTCTTTCTACTGCATTCAAATTCCTGACCACTGTGACACACACACACACACACACACACAGATATTTTTTCACAATCAATTCTATGCATTTTTTTACAATCAATTCTATGCATTTTCTGTAGTATACTATCAATTCGTCTTTCATGAATAATGGAAGAAACTAAGACAAACTTCTTTCCATTGTTTGTATATGTAATAGCAAATTTTAAAGTGTAAGACTGTGTCAGACATTGGTTATAATTCTAAAAATGTTAAAGGAAATGTTCTGCTTTGACATTTACACACTTGTTATTATTTTTGTTAAGTGATATTGATTTGAGCATGGCACATAGCAACATTTACACCCAGAGGATTATAAACTCTCAATTTATTATTAATCTTATTGCTGGAAGATAGGGTATTTCAAATGTTTGTACTCCAAGTCATTAAGGACATTGTCTCAACTCATTCCAGATAATATATTTTTTAATTTTATTAGATTATGGGTTTTAAAATTTTTTTATTAGTTATAGTGAAAGTTTACAGAGGGTTTAGATTTCCATTCATTCATTGTTGTACTTTTCTCCCTATCTACTCCTCCCCTCCAATTCATTCTTCTCTTTGAACAGTAAAAGAAATTGTTATACAATCCCTCCCCCTAAGTCCACTCCACTGTGCAGCCTTCATTCTGGACTAGTAATTCCACCTACTTGAAGCTATCTACGAAAAATTCAGAGAGCTTGGTGATCTACATTGTAAGGCATTATACTGCAAACTCAAAGTGGTGAATCACTATCTACACTGTGAGAGAAAGATGGAAAGTCTCTTAGCATGTGATGTACAGCTTCTGAACACTCAGTGGCAGGTCAAGTATGAGTCATTTCCAACTGGGTGCAAATAGTGGTATGAAGCTGGGCTACAATTCCAAAGGTATGTGGTTCAAATCCACCAGCTGCTCCATGAGAGAAGGATGGGAAATTCCTTCCATACAAGTTACTGCCAGAGGGTTTACTGTGGGTTGGTTCCAACTCAGTGGTACACAACACGAACAACACATAGTTGTGTAGTTTTGATGGCCTAACCAACAAGGAGTTAAGCAGCTAACCCAAAGGCTACACTCTCTGGCAGTTCTAATTCTTCAGAGGAAAGGTTAGGCAAAGATGGGAAATCTCTTCCCGTGTAATTTCAACCTCAGAAGCCAACTGATTGTGACTCAGTGACAATTAGAGAGAGTAAAAACTTGCTTTCCATAAATACTAAATTCAGTCATCTATAAATACTAAAGCAAAATAATTGTGATTCAGTCAGAACTAGACTCAAAACGATCCTCCCGAGGATTTTTGAAGGCTGTAAAATTCAGAGGAGGAAGTGGCACATTTTCGAAGAAGCCAGTGAATTTGAACTACTTTGCCTTTGGATTGATAGCACAACTCTTTAGCCACTAGACCACAAGAAATCTTTGTTATAAGCAATATATTAGAACTTATAGCGTTCTTTTAGATTATCAAAGCCAAGTACTGGTTTTAGGTGTTGTGTCAAGAAATCAAAAGATGTATTGCATTGGGAAAATATCATGTGAGGGACCTCTCCAGAGTGCTACAGAGTAAGCATGTTAGCCTAGAATATAAGGTGGGCCTGATACAGGTAACAGCCTTTGCAGTTACTTGTTATGCATCAGAGAGCCGGACAATGACTAAGGATGGCAGAAGAAGAATCAATACCTTTGAGTTGTGGTGCTAGAGAAGAGTATTTGACATACCATGGATTGTCAAGAGAATAGGTCAGTACTGGAGAAGATGAAACCAAGTTGCTCCTTAGAGGCAAGGATTTTGAAGCTCTGTCTTACATTCTTCAGATTATTGCCCAAAGAGATTGGTCCTTGGAGAGGGTGCCATACTTGGCAGGATGGAGGGATAATGAAGGAGAGGAAGATCTTGGATGACATGAATTGACACAGTTACTGGACTAATGAGAGCAGGAATGTTAGAGACAGTGAGATTGGCTTGGTACAGGGTAGGGTTCTTAGCTATTGTGCATCGAGTCACTATGAGTTGCAAGCAATTTGACAGCACATAAGAAAACAAAATTATTTTAATGTTTAAGAAATATTGCAGCTTGCATATAGTTATCTAAAATATTCCCTTTTTAATAAAGAACTAGATACTTGAAATCCAAACTCATTGTCATCAAGTTGGAAAAATTCAACCAAACCTTCAGCTGAATTTTCAGAGGCTATAAACCACACAGAGCAGTTGGTGGATTTGAACTGCCTACTTTTGGGTTGGCATTCTAGAGGAACATATATGGAGTCACTGTATCAACAGAATTGGCTTATATGGAATCATTTTAGGAAATAGTATATCATCAAGAATGAATGGTAATAAAAGAACAAATTTAAACTGTACTGAAGTTATAGGGGGGAAAAAAACCCAAAAGAGAACACAGAATTGATGGAATCCCAATTGAAATATTCCAACACACAGATACAGCCCTGAACAGGCTCATCAGTTTGTGCCAAAAAATGTGGAAAACAGCTGCCTGACCAACTGACTGGAATTTTTTTAACTAACGATATTTATTTACACTCCCAAGAAAGGTGATTCAACAGAATATGGAAATTGTCAAATAATATCATTAATATCACAAGGAAACACAATTTTGCTGAAGATTAATTTAGAAATAGCTAGAGCAGCACATCAGCAGAGAACTTTCAGAAATTCAGTCTGGATTTAGAAGTGACCATAAATGCCAAGGATGTAATTGCTAATGTCAAATAGATCTTGGCTAAAAGAAGAGAATAATAGAAAGATGTATATCAGCGATTTATTGGTTATTCAAAGGCATTTGACAGTGTGATTGACAACATATTGTGACTAAAATTGAGTAAAATAGGAATCCCAAAGCACTAAATTGTGCTCATGTGAAACTTATACCTAGACCAAGAGGTTGTTGAATGAATGAGCACATGAACATTACATGCTTAAAGCCAAGAAGGCTGTGTGGCAGGGATATGTCCTTTCTCCAAACCTAGTCAGTCTGCATTTTTAACAAATCATTTGAGAAACTGGCCTTTATGAAGAGGAATGTGGCTTCAAGGTCATCAACAATCTAAACTGTACAGATAACACAATCTTGTTTCTTGAGAATGAGGAGGACTTGAAGCACCTGCTCCAGAAGATCAATGACTACAGTCTTCAATATGGATTCTATTTCAATATCAAGGTAGAAAAATTCTTTATCACTGGGAGAAAAGGCAACATTATGATAGATGGAGAAAAGTTCAAGTCGTCAGTGATTTGAGCTTGCTTTCATCTGCAGTCAACACCTTTGGTGTCAAGTAAAAAAAATCTAAAGATGAGTCTTATTGGGAAAATCTGTCAGGTTTTAGTACTTACCGGAATAGTGAAGAGCCATGATGTCAGCTTAAAGACTAAGGTGTACCTGATCCAAGTTATGGTTTTTTAATTCCTAGCTGTGTATCTGAATGTTGAACAATAAACATGACAGAAGAATTGATGCCTTTACGTTGTAGTGTTGGAGAAGAGTACTGGAAATCCTATTGATTTTCCAGAGAACAATAGGTCTCTTTTGAAGAAAGTAAACCAGAGTGCTTCTTGGAAGCAAGAAAGGTAAAATTTCATCTCACACACCATAGGCACATTGTTAGGAGAGGTCATTCCTTGGAGAAGGATGTGCTGCTAGGAAATATGGAAGGTGCATGTATGATTCTGAACAAGATGGGCTGGCCTAATGACTATCGCTGTGAGCTCAAGTGTGCTGGAGTTGGTGAGGATGGCACAGAATAGGACAGGGTTCTGATCCATTGCTCATAGACTCTCAACAGAGCATAATCAACTCAAAGTCAAATCATAGCAACAGTACAGAATACATTTCCTCCTTTAATTAGTTTCGTAATCAGTCTTTAAAGTTATTCAAATGTTGATTAAGAAACTGTGAGAAGGAGGTTGAGCCCTCAATTATGGAAACATACAGGAGGAGAGACAACTGAAAGCAGACAATAGTGACTGGAACATGGAATGTAAGGTCCATGAATGCAGGAAAATTGGATATTGTTAAAAAGGAAATGAAACATATACATACAGACATACATACACATCACATCACATCATATTGGGAAAAGAGACTATGATCTTTATTTCATAATGTTGAAGATGTGTAGAAAGTGATCCATAAACTGTAACACAGTTTCATTTTTATGGTTTGTCTTTTATCATGATTTTTATCTAAATTTCATTTTTTATGTTAAAAATATACTTTACTCATAAACCATTTTCTCCCAAACACTTTCTTAATTGCTTCTTTTACATCTTTGTTCCTCAAACTATAGATAATTGGATTCAACATGGTGATTATAACAGTATAAAATATAGAAACTATCATGTCGTGGTCCAAAGCATAGCTTGAACTTGGCCTCACGTACATGAAGAGGATTGTTCCGTGGTAAATCGACACTCCAGCTAAGTGGGAGCCACAAGTGGAAAACACTTTCCGCCTTCCATCAGCAGAACGTACCTTCAGAATAGCCATGAATATGCAGCCATAGGAGACCAGAACAATCAGGATAGTGACTAGTTCAATGAAACCCACAAAGTAGAAGAGGAGAAGCTGGTTGATGTGAGTATCAGAACAGGAAATAGCAAGCAGAGGAGGGATGTCACAAAAGACATGCCTAATTTCATTGGAGGCACAGAAGGAGAGACTAAACGTGGCAACTGTGTGTAAAATAGCATGCAAAACACCACCAACATAAGAAGCAGCGATGAGAGGCACGTAGACTCTGGGTGACATGCTAACTGAATACATAAGTGGGTTGTAGATGGCTACATAGCGATCATAAGCCATTGCCGCCAAGAGGAAGCATTCTGTTGTTCCAAAGGTAACGTCGAAAAACATCTGTGTTGCACAGCCAATGAATGAAATGTCTTTATTCTTTGACATAAAATTTACTAACATGTTTGGGGTAACTACTGAGGAATAGCATGCGTCCAAGAAAGATAGCACACTCAGAAAATAATACATGGGATTGTGGAGCCGGGAATCTCCAATGACCAAGACAACAAGGCCTAAATTTCCTGTCAGAGTAAAAAGGTAGATTGCTAGAAACAGAAAAAATAAGATGAACTGCAGTTCAGGATTATCTGTGAAACCCTTCAGTACAAAGATGGTGACCTCTGTAACATTTTTCATGTTGATTTTCCCTGGATAAAGTTAAATCATTGGTGACATCATAATGAATGTTTTGAAACAGCAAAGGCAAGTTTATGCATAAATATCAATCCCACACACAGGCTGATTTCTCAAACATGTATGATTCCCCACAAGTTACTTATAAGATAATGAAAAGAGAGAGTTGAAGTTTCAGATCCCTCTCTGTAGAATCAAACGGAATATAAAGACATTTACAGATTTGTTAAAGTCATGCTATTTCTCACATAATGTTTAATAATTTATCTAATAGATAATATTAAAAGACATTTTAATCTTCCATCCAAACAATTGAGATAGCAGTTCAATGTACAGAAGGTTTGAATAACCTATTTTGTACATAATATAAAATATATTGTGGTTGTTTTCATATATGGCCAATTCAAATGCAAACCATAGATAGCAGACCCTCCAGTGGGTTTTCAGAGGCGGTAAATCACATGGGAGGAGATTGTTCATCTTTATTCTTCAGAGCAGCTGGTGGATTCATACTTTTGCATTGACAGAACAATAGAATTATGTATAATTAATTATGCTGTATTGCTTGTTGTCCCCTGTAGAATGTTCCAGAAGTGATGAGAACAAGGCAGAATAGTGTAGAGATCAGATTTCTTGCTCATAGGGTTACTATGAGTCCGTCTCCACTTGATGGCACCTAACAACAACAAAATGGAAATAATAGTAATATTTGTAATATAAGATTATAATAAAGGATACTAATGCTTATATTTTAAGATTTAAAGAGACAACTGCATAAAATATTGATATATTTAAGTTAATACAATTAATTAATGCTTTACTACAATTTTGAATATTTTTTTTGTTAAATATTGTTTATTCTGAATTAATTCATTTCTAACCCTCTGTTGGGTTTTCTGAAGTTGTAATTCAGAAAGAAGGGAATTGTCCATCTTTCTCCCATGGACCAGCTAGTGGGTTTGAACTGCGTTCCTTTGGGTTGGGAGCACAAATCCTTACCATGTGCTAATGTTATTTGGTTACATGAAGTGGACACTCTCAGTCTCTAGTTATTCTTGTAAAACTAAGGTGGTTTTGTTGGATGAGCACCCATGATTGGATTTTAAGTGTCTGAAAACAAAAGCTTTCTCTTAAATTCATTTTAAATTCTCTTAAATTAAAAATATTAGGTACACCTTTTTTTTGTCTACAGAGTACCATTTGTATTCTTGCCAATATTTCTATTTCTTTATCCCTTAAATAACATAATAGGTATGTGAAAAATTGTTTGACGTATTAATAAAATAGGGAGTAATAAAATTAGGGATTCTGTTTTGTTTCAGTGAGTACTTGGCAGAAAAACAGTTCTGAAGGACAGCCCCAATTCTGTCCTCCTACCTTGTCTTTGCTACATCTTGTCTAATTGGCCATTCATTCCAGAAAGACTAATAATTTAAATTTTCCAAATTATTGTAGTTTAAATACTTATACATATAGTTAGTCTTTTTCTCAGTTACTAAGATGAATTTTTTCTCGTTGAAGACTTTAATTCATAAGGTCACTGAGTCATTTACGACTCGATAGAACTTAACAACAAAACAAGATTTAAAAAGTCTTAAAAGAAATTATTTTAACTCTACCTTTTATTTTTACAAGTATCAGAATTTATATAAAAAATTTTACTAGTTAATTAAATTTATCAGCAATTTTTACTTCCATTTAATGTATTTCACAGATAGATTGCTATAGAAGTAAAAATTCTTCTCACCATGAGTTCTCAAGGCCCATCAAAGGCAAAATAATGATGCTAGGAGATCTTTTCATTCTAAAACATTAACATTCTGGGCAATCCAAATGTCAGAAAGGAGGCAAAATCTCAATGTTATTGACATAAATATGAAACTTTACTTTTCAAGAATACTTAGGCTGTTTCATGTCTTTTTAAAAAAATGAAATTAAGTTCATTGCTATCAAGGTGATTCCGTCTCAAAGTGATCCTATAATTGGATAGAAGAGAATTGTCTCATAGCATTTACAAGACTGTACTCTAAGAAAACATTTTCCCCTTATGGACAGAGTAGCTGGTAAACCAAATATGATCTCTTAGATATCAGCTCAGATTTTATCCACAGTTCCAAGGCTCCTTAATGTGGTATAGTTGTTGATATGTATCATTGAGTCAATAGTTGACCCTCCAATGTATGTATGAGTTAATGTGTGTGTGTGTGTGTGTGTGGTCATCAGGTGCTGTCAACTTCAGTATGCCTCATAGTGAACCTGTGATCTGAGCCCTGCCCCGTTCTTTGACATCTTCATCCACTCTGACACACTTGAGCCTGTTGCTGCAATCACAGTGTCAATTCATCTCATTGAGGGTCTTCCTCTCTTTCCCTGACTCTCCACCTTCCCCAGAATGATATCCTTTTCCAAGTAATAGCCCCTCCCAGCCACATGATGGACAATTTACACCTAGAGGTTGATAGGTGTAAAAACCCCTGCAGGATCTTTTCAAGATAAGCAGACCTTGACTTTATCCAGTCATTCCCTTTACGCCTCTGGCACTCAAAACACTGCCCCGTGTTCCTATGCTGAGTGAAAGACTGCTAGATTTTCTGGATTTAGAAAGATCCGCTCCAATCCCTCAAAATGAAGAAATTCGGGCAGTTGGCAGACTAAAAAGAGAGCATTTTATGAGAGAAAATGCTATTCACCAAAATGGACAGCTGGTCAGGAATGACTCTATGTATGACATCTCAAATATAGATACAACCATTGAAGCAACTGCAGATGACATGACTGTTGTAGATGCAGCTTCATTAAGAAGCTAGATAATCAAGCTAAATAGATGTCTACAGTTTCTGGAAGAAGAGAACAAAGAACGTGCTAAAAGAGAAATGGTCATGTATTCAATTACTCTAATATTCTGGCTGCCTAATAGTTGGCTCTGGTTCTGCTGCTAGAAGTAACTTAAGTTCTCAAAAATATCTGTCTGAACAGCTAGAAATATAAAGAACCTGAAAAAAATAAAAAACAAAGCTCAGCTCCCACTAGGTGGTACATAAGAACAAGTTTTAAATCTGTTGTTACAATTCATAAAATTTCTTCTACACATTAAAAGAATTAACATGCCCAATATAAAAAAAATGATCCTGAAATATGCTTTCAAGAGGAAAAGTATCTATAATTTAACAGATTATCACAAGATGTTCTGTAATAAATAATAACATCAAAGTCCAATAACCTGAGTACTTGCAGAACTGATCCCATTGTTTCCAACAATCGCTATTCTTGGATTCCTCAACAATTACATTTATTAGAAAAAACCCAAACACCCTACCTTCTGTCCAATAGCCTTCCTAGATAACTGGAACTTCTTCTCACATGGAAAATGAGTAAATCCTTTCCTTTCCAGCTCCTTCTGTTCTTAAGAATTCTTTCTCATCCTGTAACAACTGCAAATAATAAAGTGTACAAGCAGTGCCAGAAGTTGGTTGCAATTAGAGTAAAATTTCAGAAATGGTCAAGAAATTCTTCAACATTGACATTTAGATTGACATAGACAATTGAGATTATCACAAATCCTCAATTTATACTCTAGCTCATTGAGAAGTGTTAATATCTTTAGGTAGTGCTCTAAGTGCCAAAAGACATTCTTAAAAAAACAACAACAACAACAACATTACAGTTGATATTTTTAGTAGTAACTCCAACTGAATTAAGAATATTAAATAAAAGCTTTTGGGTGCTCTTGTTCAGTAGGAAGTTGCTTGACTATTCAATCCACCAGCTGCTCCTTGGGTGACAGTTGAACAATCTCCAACCAAGCAATCTATAGCCTCTGAAAACCAAATAGAGGTCAACCATGAGTTGAGTGCGCTCCCACTCTGTGGCGTTGAGTTCAGTAAACTCTTAATTAGGTTGGAGCCCCGAGGTATAAAACGTGTAGGATGTTGCCCTGATAAACACAGGGCTGTGCCTCTTCCGTTATTCAAATTCCTCAGCAGCTGAGAAAAGGAAAAATGAGCAAACTTCTCCAGTGAAATGCACAGCCTTGTAAACTCATTACTTCTGACTCAGTAACAATTAGAAGAGAAATAAAAACTAGCGTCTCTTAAGAGGTCAAATTCATCCCTATGTAAATAAGTAGGCCAAATCTTCATCTTATCACCTAAGTAAAGGGGCTTACTGGTTTTGCTTCTTTATAAAGAAAGAATTGTTTCTTTATGAACAATAAAAATAATGGTTTTTAAACAATGTAAACCTGGTTCTATCAGGAGCAATATTTACTTTTTACTTAAATCACAACACAGTTTGTGCCACTTGCATTTAATACTCCATAAAAAGGACTGTAATCACTTAGAAAAAGGCAGAGAAGGAAAATGTTCACTTCTGAATTTGATTTGAATGAAGAGGACTATTAGATACTTTGTCTTTTACACTTGGACTTAATAAGATAAAACATTTGGTTTAACTTACCTGTGCAGTGAGGTTCTGCTTCCATCAACTCTTAATTAAGTTCACTCTATGAACGATACTGTAGTGTTTTGCAAATATCTGAAGTCCCTGAAGATATTCATACTAAAATATGTTTATTTCTTTCCTGAATCCCTAAAGATGAGGACTAGAACTCCCCCAATCAACATCTAATTCCTGAGGGACAGAAACACAAATTGAATTCTCCAGGCAAGTCTCCAGTCAAAATTTAAAGTGGAGAAGTAGAGAGAGTTTGAGAACTTACATAAATAATGGTAAGTGCATAGCAAACACAAGGAATTATAAAAATTAAGATTTTGTTTCTATTTTCTTTTTAATATCTTCTCCTTAAATATTCTTTTGCCGTTCCTCTGGTTCCCTTGTATGAAGACGATCCAACTGGAAAGCATAAGATTCTTAAATAAATGGACAATAGTAATGAGCATTTGAAAATTTAGTTTAATAGAAATCTTCCCCTCTCTATTAACAACCCCCAGTCACTGAATCAATCCACCTCATAGAGGGTCTTCCCCTCCTGCGCTGTCCCTCCACCC